CATAATAATCTTCTTTCTCTACAAACGTTACAAATGTGAGAATTAAACTGTTCAATGAATAGTCCTGACAACAGTGGGCACCAAAGTGATCTGAATGAAGAGAAAAAGCTCAAAGACAACTTATCACAAACATCAGAAAGAAGCAATCATCACTTATTGGTCATGTTATGAGAAGAGTGAAACTGGAACACCTTGTGATAACTGGAAAGATCTGTAGAGAGACAAAGGAAGACAATGTAAAAAGATTCTTGACAGTCTTTCGTCATGGCATGGAGGGGTGTCACACACACAATAATACGCGCATTTGCGGATCGCAGATTGTGGAGAGGCCTGATCGCCCACGCCAGTCGGCAAGGCACTTGATGATGACCGGGTCCACTCTTTTCTTCCGCACAGCGAAGCCCCGGGTCCCAGGCAGATATTATTAAATTTTTTAGAGTCTGAAACAATTACCGCGTGTGTGGCCGCTTGTTCTGCTACCCACGCGAGTGCTCTGGTAGCAGCAGCTATCTCCATGCTCATGCTTGACGTAGTCGTTTGGTAAGCGCCGCTATCCTCTGTTATTGTTTGTCCCATCCTTTGTGCTGTGTATACCCATGCTGATCTTGTCCCGCGCTGCACTGACCAATCTGTGTAAATGACCACGCCTTCTGGGAGTGAGTGCTGATCAATCATTGCTCTAATCTCGGCGTCTACGTCTAACAATTTGTTAATGATGTACGTAACGAAAGTAATTCTTCTTCACTTCCTCTTGTACCGCTTTGGGTGTCGGTGGAGATATAACATTTTGGTTTTTGCTATGCTGGCAGCCTAGAATATAAACCTGTCATGCTTTTGTAGGGTTTCTCTGATGTTATTTTTCCATCGTATTTTTGGTTTACCCCTTGCTCTTGTTTCTCATCTTTTTGGTGTACGTCTTGTATGTTATGGCATCACTAGGCACCCCGCCCCCCCCCCCCCATTTTATTTGTTGCCTTTGTATGTAATCTAGAACTGGATCTGTACCGAAGTTTTCTTTTATGACTTCAAAAAAGTATTTATTCATGATTTTACATCTCAAGTATTTATTTACAACAGATTTGCGATAGCGAAACCAATAATCATTTCGTTTAATTTTTGTTCCCAGATTTTTAAAAATTCTTCCTAAAGCGAGACAACTCGCCTCGGCGTTATTTATCAGTTTCTGCATTTTTGCGCATAATTTCTCATTATAATTTTATGATTTTTTAAATATATCATTCATTTGTTCACCAAAGCATCGCAATTTATTAACACAGCCACTATTATCGAGCTCAAAGATACAGGTAAGTAAGTCACAGATACTAATATATAAATGAACAGGCTAGATTGATTATCAAACAGTCCAAGGCTACAAGACAGGCAAATATGGTCGCAGGCGGCCATTGTGGGAACCGATCTCTTGCGAATCCGACCTGTAACGTTTGTTGATGCTTGTCGTGGTCAACGTCCTGCATTTGTTTATTTTCTTTACACTTTTTAATTATAATATTTCCGTGAATGTTTGTAAAAAGTATTGTTTGATGTAGTCTTTATATTTAAAGAAGTGTTTTATAATAATAATTGCCTCCACGTTTAAAAATTCAAACCTCTGCACATGGACTCATGGAGCATCTTTTTCAGCAACTGACTTCATACCAAGTTACAACTAACACTAACTAACAGCTTCTTTTACTCAGATTTAAAAAAAAAAAATTTTAATGCAACTGTCAACTACTACTTTACTATGGATGGATGGGTAGTGAAAAACTTAATCCAATAGGACCTCATTCAGGTCTGCACATCAGTTAACATTATATAAGCAAAGCCAAAATAACTTTTTAACCCTTTGGAGACCGAGCCTTTTTGGAGTTTCAGTGCCAGGAAGACGAAACGTTCAGAAGGGGATTGTCATAGTTTATACACACAAAAATTATAAATTAACGTATACAAAACTATGTATAGTTTGTATAGGAAATTGAATGAATGAACAGAATATTTTTATTATGAAATCTCAACATTTGGCTTGGCACTCTTCCAAATGCTAGTCCCAAATTATTCAAAGACAAAAAACATCCCATTCAGGGCCTCAAGAGGTCATGTAATTAGGTACTCAAAAGGTCATGTAGTTAAAAAATATGGAACAGGAACACTACGAACTATGCTTTGCGTTTTTATATAATTTCATTTGAACAAGATTTTCGAGTTTCAGTAATACAGTTGTAAGTATTCTGCCTGTCACCAATTTTATTGGTGTTCAATTTTCCGGCGGGTGATTACTTTTTTTGGGGGGGGGGGTGGGGGAGCTTAAAAGGGTGATTGGCACATTGTGTTGTGGTTTACAACTACGCTGCAATATCTGCACCTTTTGTTCGGTCTTGTGGTTAACAGCTAGGTTGCGATACCTGCGCCTTTGGCTACAACACATCCGATTTCAGCAGTCCTATTAGTTACCTTTTACAACATGCTTTTTAGGTGGCTGTGGATCTATTCTGTTTTTTCCTCAAAGATGGGGCCTTGGAACCCACAAGAAGAGTCACGGGTAATGTCTAGTGTGTCATTTGTTGCTAGTTGGGAACACAAGGAAATTTCAGGGCCTTATTACGTGATTATTATTGTTACGGAAGTCAATTATTGGTTAGTTGTAATAGTGCCTGGTTAAACAGATACAACCTAATAATGACTTGTGAAATATATTGAGCTGACTGAGTATTCTCAGGAGAAGGAAAGGGGTGTTTAGAGATCTAGATATACTTTTGGTAAGATGATGAAAGAGGAAGACTGCAGGTTACTTATACTGTTTTGCAGTTCAACTAAAATGTTTAACTTAGATTTTCTCTTTTGACACAGTTATGAAAGTATAATAGAATGTGCTGAAACCTGTCCGTTCGCCTGCTTTGACAACTAGCCTGGTCTAAACATTTGACCGCTATCATTCAGCCTGCTCAATGAACCCTAGTTTTTCCAAGTTGTCGGCTACGAGGTCTGAGAATAACAATACTGATGTAGCTTTCCCGTGTTTCACGTCTCGAAACTCTAACCCGTGGTAATTAGCCACCTGAGTGTCCACAAGCTCATATGTCTTCTGTCCGTTCGACTGGAAGATTGTATAATTCTTCAAACGGAGATGAGTTCCCTGGTCCAGCTGTTGAGCTAATGATAAATTCCACTGAGATAAATTATTGGTTTATTAGACACTTTGATCGCTGCTAGGAAGATCGCCTGAGTTAGCTGTTCTGTTACCTCATTGTATTTCATTTTGTAAAGATGTCTGTTGGGTTTGTGTACTTCGTTTGCCTTTAGAAGGAATTCTGGACTCAACGAATGCACCTCGTCACATTCTCCTTGTGAATTTGTACACTTGCATGGATAATTGCTTATCGTCTCCTTGCGAATTTGTGCACTTGCGTGGATAGTTGCTTACCCGCAAAAGTTGCGGATAAAGTGAGAATATTTCCTTGACAATTTGTGCAGCTACCTGTAATTATTACTATGGTAGGCAGACCATCAGCTCCGACACAGATCAGCAATAATATTCTACAAGTTGTTCAACTGGCAGCTGTAGATGTCAGACCTGATGATTTTTATAGAATAATGAACAATAAACTACAGTGGTTGCTATGGCTTTGCTGCACAGATTCATACGTAACACAAGAGACTGTTTGTATTGCAACCGTCAGATGTCATTTGTGTTAGGGCTAGAATGTTCGGATAGATTCTCGTGGCGATGCCGTCACTGTGATACTGGTTACATTGTACGGGCGGGTTTGTTCTTTGTCAGTTGTGAGCACCCAAGTGAAGCAAATTGTGATGATAATGTTTTACTGGTTGTTCAGTGTGAAGCTGAAACATGTGATGTTTTTTTTGAGATGTTTGACAAGATATGCAAAAAATAACTACATGTGAAATGCAATGTCTCTGAAGAGTCACCAACAATACACGAAGAGACAGAGTCACAAATGTCAGCATTAGAGACAAAGTTGGAACAAGAGCATGCATGGAACATATTGAAAGACAGAGAATGAAATGGTTTGGCCATTTAGTAAGAATGCAACCGGATCAGATTGCCTCTAAGGCCTTTTACAGTAGAACATCAGGAAGAAAGGCCAGAGGAAGACCCAGGAAAAAAATGGATAGATGGAGTAGCTGAATACGGCCAGAAGATCCAGAAAACTCACTCAAATCACGCGAGAGGCACAAAACAAATATTTTAAACCACGACACTGGGCTGCAACCTGGTAAAAGTAAGGAAGACAATAGATAGGTAGACAAGCTGTGGTCTATAGTAACTACAATAATTATTTTCAGGTTTTATATATATAATATTAATATGAGCAAAGAGGAAATTACTTTTCACAATGTGTGTCCAAAAACTTGATATTTACAGTAACTTGTTTGTTGATGACCAAACATCTTAGCAGCTGTAACCCCCTTCCCGTTGTAGAGGCACAAACAGATCATGACAGTCTGAGGAGAAGATGCTTAGAGTAGTTACCTGGGGAACTGGCTGACACTTATGGGAAAGGCGAGACTGATTTACATTTAGACAGTTACTGGTGCCATCAGAACTGGAGCTCTTTGTTTACTGCTGAAGATAGGGGTGGAGCACTTATGGGAGTGTTCCAAGTGCTGTGATGTCAGTTCTCAATTCAACATTTAACATTTTCTACACACACAAAAAACTGCCTATACTCAAAAAGGTCTTTAAAAAGGGCCAGTACTCACCACAGTGTGTTATAACATTACACTAGACTGTAGTGTTGACAAATAGTGGCCACAGAAAAAGGGCCAGTACTCACCACAGTGTGTTATAACATTACACAAAAAGGCTTCCAGTGATTTGATGCTCTAAATAATGGCCTGAAAAGGAAATTCATTATCAGGAAATGTCAAGTTATTTCTGATTTTGTTTGTTTTACATATTCACTTGTTTATTTGCAGATAACTGAATAACTGAAAGCTGCAGAAGGTCGGATGCATTAAACTGTAAAATGTGTGAGAACATGGAACAGACTATCACTGTGATGACAGAAGAAGAAGCTTCAGATCCTGGGCCTAATGATATTGTCATTCATCTTATCAATCCGTACAAGTGTGGTGTCTGTGATGTGGAGTTTGTGGACAAGCCTGTGTTCAAGGTATATCTTTTACTTGTGTTGCACCGTGAGTAGTTCAGTCATCATCATAAACCACTTCTGTCATTAAACTTCGTGGGAAGGAATAATTTGCCTTCCAGTGCACACTGGCTGGCACCAACTGTTGTGTTGCTGTAAGGGCGTAAAGTGTCTTTAATATTGTCGATCCTTTTTTTTCTTAGACATCCTCTTGCTCTTGAGGTATAGGGCCTGTGGTGGTGCTTGAAAGTATTCTTCTATTTCTTGTGATTGCTTTTCTGGTTTACGCCGACAGACAAGTTCTTGTGATAAACTTGACTATTTTTAGAAGTTCCATACAGCTTTGATTACAGTGTTGATTCAGTAGGCCAGAATCCCTTCTTAATGGTCTGCACAGAAACATTCATGTGGGACATTTTGCATACACAACCCGCTTGAGCCCAATGGTGGACTACTTAGCCGAAGCCTGTGCATACGCTTCTGATAGTATCATTATTCACTAGTTCTTGGATTGTTAAGTTGGCGGCTTTTAGATTCAGTGAAAAAATATTAAACAGGCTGGAACAACAAAGTGCTATGTCATCTTTATAGAACCAATAACATCAGACAGACAAGTGATGCACCAATTAGTCTTCAACAGAAGCATGACATGGAAGCAAAAAGCGACACAGAAAATGAATCATATGTATCTTTCAGTGCATTAGGCACCAGTCAGTGTTAAATGGGTGTGTAAGGTTGCATTGTGATTGAGTCAGTCATAAAGGACAGCAAAGGATATTGCCTGGATTAAGCCTTCAGGATCAGAGCCACCATAGGAAATAAAAGGCAACACAGCACATGGACTGCATGGTGAACATCATAATTTTATATGTGTCTTTCATTACATTATGAGTCCGGGATAAAGTTAGTTGCAATTCCTTTACAGGATGTTGCAGAACCAATCCAGCATAGTTTGTTTACTAGGTATATTTTACATTTGGTAGTTTGCTATTGCTTTCTTCAATGGTCAGCTCTTCAGTGACCGATTCATGGATAAAGCATGTCTTTTACTGTATTATGAGGGATTCATTGATAAAAATGTATAATTAAGCAATTTGCTGGTAAAAAAATGTCCCTGTTCAGCATCTTGTCTGTGAGGTACTGACATCACTGTTGTGAAATCCATGAAATAATTGGAATCTTTCTTTCAAATTTTACTTTCCTCATCTATTCAGTATCTTCCTTTTCATCTCCCTTTTATGTGCCTGTCTTATGATGAATTAAGCTAGAGTGGCTCTTATTCTAGCCACATCGCTCTCTCTCTTTCTGTGAGAGAGAGAGAGAAATGAACAGGTCACTTGACTTGTTGGGGGGGGGGGGGGGGGGGGGGGGGGGGGTTTGAGACTGTCTGATCACCTGTTGAATGGGGAACAAATTAATGATCATATGATGCTAGAGTTTGTGATAATCATACAACAGAAAGTTTCTTTGTCAACACAGGAGTCAGACAGGGATGCATACTATCCCCCTTTTTGTTCAATTTGGCTATTGACTGGCTGATGAAGGTAGTTACACGAGATAGAAAAAGAGGTATCAGGTGGTCACTCAACCTCTGTTTTAGAGGATTTGGATTATGCAGACTGACATCAGCCTTATATCAAGCCGTCATGTGGAACGCTCAAGAAAAGATTGAAAGACTTTCAACAACAGCCCTTAAATGATGAAGCAATAGAGGAAGTTTAAGAATTTATATACCTCGGAAGTGAAGTTACTCCAGATGGAGATTCTGAAAAGGATCTAACATAAAGAATGAACAAAGCAAATCAAGCATTTGCCAGGCTTAACAATATATGGAAGTCAAAGGGTTTTAGTTTGGAGACAAAACTTAGAATATACAGGAGCAACATTTTAGGAATACCATTATTCAACAGTGGCCCGTGTGTCACCGGGGCCCTCACGGGAAGCAAAGAATAGTGACACTGCATCCTACCAGGCATGTCGTAAGAGGTGACTTAGGGTAGGTATGGGCTTGAGGTTGGCTACCTCATCCTGTAAAAACCAACCAACCATGGATAAGTCAAAAAGAGAAGCAAGTAAAATCCAGCCAACCAAGATGAGGGAAAGCTCTTCAAATAGAAGAAGTGACGTACCTCCTCTCAGCTAGGAAAACCTCCAGAATTGGCACCTGGAATAATGAAGGAAGGCCCAAAAACACACGGAGAAGAGAGCTGGAGAATGAAGTTAGAAAGATGGGGAGAGCTCCATGCAATGGCGAAGGATAAGAACGACTTGGCGTGAGTCGGTTGAGGAGCTATGCTTCATTGGGGGATGGAAAGGCAGAAGAAGAAAAAGAATTATTCAACAGTGAATGTTGGAAAATGACAGCGGGAAATTACAAAAAAACTTGAGACTTTTCAAAATAAATGTTTCAGTAGAATTCTACGAATATTTCGGTCAAACAAGATCACAATTGAAGAACTGAGGAGGAAAAACAGAATTTGCATCACTGGCAAGTGTTATCAAAGTAAGACGATGGAGATGACTTGGAAATGTTTGCAGAATGCCTTGTGACACTGGCAAAAACACCTATCTGGTCAATAGCAGATAGGAAACCTGGAGAAGGACAATAGAACAGGAAATGAAGAAATGTAAACTGACATGGGATACCATGGGCAGAAAAGCAGCAGACCGGCAGCAGTTAAGATGACTGGTGAATGTCTTATGTGTCAACAGCGACAGGAAGAGGATAGAGATAGGATGTGCACTCATCACTAGGGTTCTGGAACAAGACGAACAGAGGCTAACAAAATTTGACTAACAACCAGAACTTTTCTCTGGAGTTCACAGACATGAAGAATAAGAACATGATCATGAAGCAATTCAAGTTACCCATTACATCCCATTTTGAGAAGCACTGTTTTTGGGGTTGTGTATCCCTGCCAACTATCCTTTTTAAGGGCAGAGTTAGAAAAAGAAGAAATGACACTAGTCACTAGTTGTATATTTACTTTTTATTATTTACACTTACTTTGATAAATGTTTGCTAACCAATAGCTGTGTATTACTAAACTGCACTTACTTAGTGTTAATGTTTTATGTTGTGTAGGGTCAACATATTTGCTCATTTAGAGCATATTAAAGATAAGCCAAATCAGATTGTGATGATTATCGGTCTGCCATCAGAGTACCATGGTAGAGTGACACTTCTTCTTTTATACTTCTGTCAGAAAACCTATGTCAAGAGGTCGGTAGCCTTGATGAAAACTATTGTGCAGTCCATATCTCCCCCTATAGTGCAGTCCAAATCTCCCCTATCATGCAGCCCAAATCTCCCCTATCATGCAGCCCAAATCTCCCCTATCGTGCAGCCCAAATCTCCCTTATCGTGCAGCCTAAATCTCCCCTATCGTGCAGCCTAAATCTCCACTATCGTGTAGTCCAAATCTCCACTATCGTGCAGTCCAAATCTCCACTATCGTGCAGTCCAAATCTCCCTATGTACCATACAGCTTTGACTTCATTAAGGTTTGAATTGTCCTAATCGGTTCTCTGTTACAGTTTTACAGTCGACAGTGTGAGGGCACTTGCTTAGAATTTTCTGATGTGTAGTTGCAAGGAGACATTTATCTGTTTCCTACACTGAAAAATGTGAACATATCTTGGTGAAATCTGTTGTGTCCTGTCCTTTGTCTGAATATTATAACACATTGTCTATCTCTAGAAAAGTGATTAAGCTAGTCAAGAGAAAATTTAGTGTTTGGTATCCAGCCACCTTTCTTAGATTGTATTATCTTAGTCTCTTGGTGGGTTAAGTCACTTTTATTGCACCATATCATTGATGCTCCTGACCAGTCTTTCCACTGTTTCATTGCCTTCCAAGCCACAGTAACATATTATTCACAGCAGTACAGATTATTCCACTGAAGAGACTAAGTGAATCAGCTGTTGCGTCAAGTCTACAAACTGTATCTTTTGGGTTAACAATTGCTTGTAGATCTGACATATCATCAGTCAAAAAACCACACTGCTATATTTGCTGTGCTGTTGTCTGTTCTGGAAAGAACATGCCGCCAGAGGTGCAGCTGCCTCTGCTCTGTAATCAGAGCAATATGAACCTGTTGGTATAGCTTTTTCAGTTAGGAGTTGACTAGCAAGTTACATTCTGCAGGTTGGAGCGGAGGGTTCTATCAAGCAGGTCTTTGACTTTGATACATTTTGTTAAACAACTAAGTTGCATTTACTCAGTGCTGATGTTGTTGTCTAGGATCACATGTTTGCTCATTTGGAGCATACCAAACACGAACACCCAAGCTCACAGATTGTGATGTGTATCACCCTGACACCAGAGACTCCTGGTGGGATGACAGTGACACGAGACATTCTGAACCTTGGAGAGGATGGTTCCATCAAGCAAGTATGGCAGGTCAGTAAGGGCTTTTCTGAAAGCTCAGCTAGGTAGACATGAGAGGTACACCAGATGGCAGGTCAGTAAGGGCTTTTGTGGAAACTCAAGTCTGCTAGGTAGGCAGGAGAGGCACACCAGATGGCAGGCCAGTAAGGGCTTTTCTGGAAACTCAGTCAGCTAGGTAGGCAGAGGAGAGACGGCAGGTCAGTAAGGGCTTTTTTGAAAACTCAGTCAGCTAGGTAGACAGGAGAAAATAAATGTTTTTGGCTGTAAAGGAAATGTTTTGGGGAGTGAAGGAAATGGTCTGGTAAGTACAGGAAATGTTCTGAGGAGTAAACTTGATATTCTGAGGAGTAAAGGAAATCTTCTTCTTCTTCGCGTTCACCAGCTGTACACTCTGGCGGAAAGTTCTGGTTGATCGTCCACTACTGAACTGCAGTCCCGCTCCAGAACCTGAGTGTTGCGTGTGCATCAGTTTTATAGATCTCATTCTCTTGAATACAGACTGTTGGTTCCTTGCCTCTCCGGCAGATGCACTCCGACTTCAAAGGAAGCTCCCCAATTAGTCGACTCTTACGACATGCTTTTGGGGAGGCAGTGGGTCTATTCTTGTTTTCCCCACAATGGGGCCCCGGAACCCACACGGGGGAGTAAAGGAAATGTTCTGGGGAGTAAAGGCAATGTTCTGGGGAGTACAGGAAATCTTCTGGGGAGTAAACTTGATGTTCTGAGGAGTAAACTTGATATTCTGAGGAGTAAAGGAAATGTTCTGAGGAGTAAAGGAAATGTTCTGGGGAGTAAAGGAAATGTTCTGGGGAGTACATGAAATGTTCTGGGGAGTACATGAAATGTTCTGGGGAGTACATGAAATGTTCTGGGGAGTAAAGGAAATGTCCTGGGGAGTACAGGAAATGTTCTCGGGAGTACAGGAAATGTTTTGGAGAGTAACATTGATATTATTGGGAATAAAAGGAATGCTGGGAAGTAAAGTCACCAGGTAGGATACTGACTACATCACCCACCCGGTGGGAATCAGACTGTAAAATGTGAGGCTAACAACGTGTGACCAGTAGTGTACTAGGTTCACAAGGTGCATTATATTTGTGTATTAGAGAGAGAGAGATACTGCCATTGTGTGCAACATATTTATACTATTGGGGCTGTGTGTTTGTGTGTCTCATTCCGATTCAGACTGATATATGTGTAAACATGTATATTTAGTTAGTTGCTTATCCTTAACAAGAGGTTGCAGAACCAACCCCAGAATTTTTGGCTGTTGTGGTTTTTCTAGGCAAATTTGTGTCCAGTAGTTTGCCGCTGCTTTCTGGACGGTCAGCTTCTGGATACCACTGTCTAAACCAGTGCAAGGCAGCTAGAATCAAACCCGGCATTACGAAGTGCGTTCGCAACGCCTAAGCCGCAGATGCTGACACATATATATATATATGCGAACACACTTCATTTGCATTTCCACAATCCATGATCTCCTGCAGCATGTATCAGTTCGTGTGCCGACACGCCTCCATGCCATGCAACAAGATTTGTCAAGAATCTTCTCTCGTTGTCTTCCTCTATCCCTTCTTTCACAGATCTTTCAAGTGGTCACAACAAGTTCTATTTTCTTTCTTGGCCAAAAAATGATGACTGTCTCTTTCTGATGTCTGTGATAAGTTGTCTTCGGGCTCCCGCCTATTTCAAAACCTCTTGTTTTTATTTTTATTTTGGCTGTCCAAGGTATTCGAAGCATTCTTCTGTAAAACCACATCTCTGAGGCCTCAAGAAAGGGTTTGGTCTGCCTTCTGATTGTCCAGGATTCACAGCCATAAGTTAAAACGGAATATATGTAGCAAGCAAAAATTCTTTTTTTAACTCGCAATGACAAAGATATATTGTACAAGATGTTCTTCATTTTATATATATATAAATAATAAAATTTTTTTTTCATAATGCAGCCAGCCAATGCCAGTATGAACCAGGCATCACCACTTCGGGAGCTGGAAGAAGCTGGTCTCATCAAGTTGGATCATCCAAAGTTTGAGCTGGTTGTACCCAAGCCAGAGCCTCTGCCCAAAGCCAGATCGATCATTGGCAGCTTTAACAGTGCTAAAATGGTTGCACACCAAGGACAACCAGTGGAGTTACTTACAGCTGGGGTGATTCCGCTTGAGGAGACTGAGGAGGTGGCAGGTCTTCTGAAGGAAGAAGTGGAGAATGTGGAGACAGACTTGTCCCATATTGTGGACAACCGAAATGGTTCTTACAGTTTTGCCTTTAAGGGGCCAAATAATGAGTTTCAGCACATTCAAATTGTCGGGCAGGAGGGCATCAAGGGGGATTTGATGATGGAGTTGACCAGCATCCAGGATAGACGCAGAACAAGCAGAAGCAGCAGCAATAAAAGCAACGAGTGTGATATTTGTGGTAAAATTCTGTCCAGTTCCACAAATCTTTTGCGTCATAAGATGTATCACAGTGCTGAGAGGCCCTTCAGATGTGATATTTGTGACAAGGGTTTCAAGGATGTGAGTAACTTGAAGAAGCACACTATGATACATAAGCGGATATTTCCTTGTCATTTGTGTAAGAAGTCATTTCTAAGGAAGTCTCTCCTGGCTCTTCACCTCCTGCGCCATGAGTCTCACACAGCTGTGGTCAAGACTGGAAACTCTATGAAGGAGATCACTCTGAGGACCTTCGTCGATGATGATGGAACTCGTGTGGAGGAAATGAGCATGGCAGCTTTAAATGGACAGACCTTTGAATACAAGCACCGTATTGTCAAGGCAGATCCTGCCACTGACAAGAGTTTGAAGGATGACAGTCTCACTGATGAGAAAGAGCATGAGGTGCTTGATGCGGGAGTATCTGCAGAAGCTGTGTCTGTGAGTTCAGGCAATGCAGATATTAAAGGTGGTGTCCAGAGGCCTATGTTTACTGTCACCATGGGTGGGCTGCAGGTAGCAAGTCTTGATCAGGGCACTAGTACAGATGATGCACAGAATGTTTCTCTGGGAAGTAAAGGTGCTGGCAATCCTGATGGACTTGATGCAGATGACCTGCCTGAGCTGAAGATCCTACCAGTTCCAGAAGAATTTGTGAAGATGTACCAGTGTGGACACTGCGGGAAGAGAACTGTCCAACGTGGCAACATGATGAGGCATCTGATACATCATTTGAAGGAGAAACCATTTGGTTGCGATGAATGTCCTAAACAGTTTGTGGACAAGGGGGAACTTGTTAAGCATAAGAAGACGCATACCAAGCCATATAGGTGCCCTCAGTGTAATGGTGCTTTTGCTCATAATGTGCAGCTGATGAAGCATATACAGAGTGAATGTTTAGGAAACCTGGAGCAGCTTAACTACACTGTCATGGAAGATGGGAAGACCTACAAGTGTGACATCTGCTGTATTGAGATGAAAAGGCTAGGCAACATGATCAAGCATGTTGGAACCCATGGGGCCAGCAGCAGAAGAAGCTCTTGGAGTCGAAAAGCCATGCTGAGCCCAAAGAAAAGTGTCCCAATACCAACTTTTGGCAGCAGTGACAGAAGTAAGCCTGCAGGTTCCGTACTATTATGATTCTGTTCACAAAGCATTCTTCTGTGGTTTTTGCTCAAAGTCGTATTCTCAGAAGGCTAATGTCCATCGCCATGTGAGAATGCACACAAAGGACAGGCCGCATCGCTGCATGCACTGTGACCGCTGGTTCCCCTGTGCAAGCACTCTCAAGAGACACATTCAAATGCACACCAAGCCCTTTAAATGTGAGAAATGCTCTTGCGCGTTTTCACGCAAATTCTTCTTGGAAGCTCACATGAAGAATCACTCTGAGAAAGAAAGACTTGAGGACAACCCAGACTATGCTTTGCTGGAAGATAAGTCTGGCTACTTCTGTAAACACTGTGACAAAATGTTGAGCGAGAGATACAGAATGATGAATCATGTGAAGCTACATCTAACTAAACGTCTGTTTGAATGCCCTACATGCAACAAATGCTTCAGTTGCCGCTACTTGCTTCTAAAGCATAAAAAGACTCACAACAAGCCTCATGTGTGTGTTGTGTGTGGAGAAGCATTTACCAGGAAATTTTTCCTCATGCTGCACAGGAAGAAGATGCACAACTTCCAAAAGAACATTCCGGAAATGAAGGATGAGCCAGTTGAAGATAAAACAGAATCAGATGAGTCGTTTTTTTGCTCCATTTGTGGGGCTCCCTTTGCCAGGTTGGTAATCAAAATAAACCATGAGAAAAAATGTGGGGAAGAGAGCAAGGTTATGGTGCGGCTGCCAGATGGCAAGGGTTATAAATGTAAGGTCTGTAACAAAGTTGCTACTTTAAAACACAATCTCATGGTTCACATCCGAAAACATGATGTAACCGATGTGGACAGTAATGAACATAATGATCAGCACGATATTAAATACATTCAGGAGGAAACAGCAAAAGAAGAGAAGTCTTCTGGACAGCAACAGGTATCAGCATTGGTTAAATCTGAAGAGCCATCAGCAAAACAAATAAAAATAGAAAGCTCACCTGAAAATCAAGCATCCACACCTGCAAATACGCCTGTAGCTGCTTTAAGAGCTGCTAAGGCAACAAGAGAAGATTCAACCTCTCTTGGTACAACCCCTCTTGGTAGCTCTCGACGACCAGCAAGGACACAAAAGGTGCCAGCGCGGTTTCTGGAATAATTTGTTGCTGTAATGTAACTAAAGTGTAGCTCCTTTTCTTTGCTTCAGATGGAATTTTTCATGGAGAAACCATATGTAAATGAACTTGTAGAAAGAAAGTCAAGACTTGAAACAATTTGACAAGCATTGTTGTTAGCTTCCCGATTCTAATATTAAAAAAAAATGTATATTGTAGGGTGCACATTTTTTCTTAAACTTTCTTTGCAATAGATAGAAGGAGGTCTGGATTTTTAATGTTTTTATTTGTGAAGTTATAAAGGTTTCTCACTGTCCATAATACAAGGTCCGACAATTAAGTAATGAGACTGATTTTATTATGGCTGAGACAAAAAGGCCATCTATGATTCACAGCATGGAATCCAAAGAGGCAACCTTTGTCTATGATCTGGCAACTTTTCATTGCCGCCCAATAAGCAGACAACAAACAAGCTGCCATTTTGTTAACCTAGTCAGAGGTGCATTGTTACATAATCAGAATGGAGCAAAAAAGCTGACATAAAATTCTGTTTAAAACTCAGAAAAAGCGCCATTGCAACAGTTGAATTGATGCTACACGTTTATGGGGATAATTGTTATCTCCCTAACAGATTTTCAGCTGGTGTTCAGAAGTGGTGTGGAAATGATTATTACCACTGCAACTAGACCTGAATGCCCAATTTCTGTTCATAATAAGGAACTCATTGCAAAAATCCGAGAACGGATATAAGAAGATCATTGTTTGACTGTGAGGATTATTGGTAGATGAATTTGGTTGTAATGCAGAGACTATTCGTAAAATTTTAGTGGAAAGATTTGGGCAAGAAAAAAGTTGCTTGTCGATTTGTATTCAACACCTGGCCAATTTGTTTCTTCTTCATGACAATGCACCAGCTCAAAGCGCGATAGCTGTACAGGAATTTTTGGCCCAAAAAGAAGTGTGTTCTCAACCATGCACTTTATTCCCCTAGATTTGTCTCCCTGTGACTATTTTCTATTCCCAAAATTAAAGTTGCCATTGAAAGGACGCTTCTTTGACAATATTGATGACATCCAAAGTGCTATAAACATCGACTTTAAAAGCCATAACAACAGAAGAACTACAGAGGTCGTTCTAGTGTTTGTTAGATCATGCCACTTGCTGTATCATTGCACAAGGGGCTTATTTTAAATAAAATACAGGTTATACCTTCAACTGTTGGTTATTTAAATTTTTATGAAAAGGTCTCATTACTTAATTGTCGGACCTTGTTTGTTCTGAAATAGATTGCATACTGTCCATTACTTTCATACAGTACTTTTTGGAGTTCTAAATACGTCAGTCATTATATATCCAATTCCCGTCCTTTTTAGAATGGAATTTTTCGTTATTTGAAGCCCTACTCTGACTCTTGCCAGGGGCCGCAATATGGCCTGGCCATAAATATGGCCTAAAGGCTGAACGCGGTTTCTGAGACCTCTCCACAGTGATCCTCACCCACATGGTGGCACATTGTGTCATTGGGTGTTTATCGCTTGTGTTATGTCCTGGTGGGGTAGAAAGTCAGTCAGTCTAACTCATTAATTGCTGCCTGTGCTGCATTATATATAAACTTCCCTACAGTGTTCCAATATTCTTCTATTTCTTGGCATTCTCCGGCAGTAAACGCTGGCAAAGAGTTATGGTTGTTTTTCCAATTCTGGACTCTTGTTTGTCCCAGAACTTGAGCTTTGCATGTACATTGCTTAATGTTGCATGCAGACTGTTGGTTGCTTACTTCTTAAGCAGATGCACTTCTACTTTAAAGGAAACTTCTATAATTAGCTGCCTCCTACAACATGCTTGTTGAGGGGCAGGGTTTGTTTATTCCCCCCACCCCATGGAGATCCAGAATACACGCACTATGTCTTTTCATTTATCTGTATTTGCCCTTAAAAAGGCGATTGGCACGCTGTCTGTTTTTTTTTTTTTTCTTCTCCGTGTTTACTGGCTGTAAATTCAAGCAGAAATGTCTGGTTGTTGATCCAATTTTGGACTTTATAGTCTTGTTCTAAAACTTCAGTTTTGCAGGTGTGGTTATTTGTATGCAGATTGTTGGTTCTTTGCCTTTTAGGCAGAAGCACTCAAGCTTCAAAGGATGCCCCCAGTTAGCTGACTTGTTGGGGAAGCAGAGGGTCTTGTTGTCCCCACAATGGGGTCCCGGATCCCACATGAGGATAGCATGGTTTGCAAATAGGTATTGAACAAGGACAAAAAACAAGCCTGATGAAACTGGCAGCAGGAAAATGAAAGAAGGTGAGCCAATCAGTTCTTACTGGGTACGTTCAGCATGGAGACACTGAGATGGCTGCTGCATGGGAGGACAACGCACCATCTGTTTGGACCGATGTGCTAGAATGTCCATATGGACAAATAACAAGTTGTGGTTTGCAGCTAGGCTATGATGTCTACACCTTTTGGTCCACCACATCCAATTTCAGCAACTCCTCTAATGTGTTGTCTATGCTTATTGGAATGGGGGGCCCAGTGTATCTATCCTTTCCTCCCATTCTTGTAAACTGTTTTTATCAACTGTTTACTGTGAATTAAAACCAATTTTACTGATCTTGATTTGATTAACTTACTGTTCACCAAGCACCTGTATTCATTGGTTACTTCAGTATCTCTACACGTTTTAACTCCTAAGAGCATTTTTGGTGAAGGATTTAATACTTTGATTGCATTGAATTATTTCATGATTTTTAAAGTCGTAATAAGCCATAAACAGGGTATTTAAAAATTATAACATGGACAAAAGAAAAGAAAAAATAACTGGTTACAGTTATTCTACCTTGAAATAGGTAATTTCTGCAGATGCGCCGATAGATCATTACGGTCTGAGGAGAATGGCACTGCGAGGAGTTAGCAGGGGATGTGGCTGACATCAACACTCGGTGAAAGGATGAGACGGATATGCAATAAGACGGTTACTGGTGCCATCAGAATTGGAACTCTCCGCTTGCTGCTGCAGATGGGGACAGATCACTTATAGGAGTGTTCTGAGTGCTGTGATGTTGATTCTTAATCCAACATGGGTAATTATATGCCTCTGCAAAGACAGTGGTGTGTGTGTATGTGATAGTTAGGCAGCAGGTCAACCTTGTCCTCCCCCCACCATCTAATACCCACACTTTTTTTATTGCGTGCAGCTGGATCTCTCATCTCACAATATGACCACAAATGACAGTTGTCTTGTTAAGGTGTAGGTCGTTATTTGTCTTTGAAATGGTTTCATGTGGATAGAAAAAATAAAGCGAAGAACCCTTTTGGCACAACAGGCATATATTGTTAGACCTGTATTTGTATAGACGGATGTGATGTGGTCAGTGTCACGCTGGTCACCTTTATGTCCCTGGACATTATTAGGTACCCATTTTATGCAGGATCCACCCGAGAGCCAATATCAGTTTTGAAATTTTTCTTAAAACTGTGTTATATGGATTAGAGCCTGCAGTAGTCGATCTTGATGAAGTCCGAAAGAAAATGGAGGTAATGGTTAGATTTAATTAGAAAACAATAGTTATAGAAGTTCTCTCATCTAATGACTGCCAACACACAGCATACCCCAGTGAGCAATAATGTGCAGGCTGGGGGTAAATCAAAATAGAGGCTGACCATGTATTTGATGGAAAGATGGAATAAAAGAGTCCAGAGGAAGACTGCTACGAAGCACACCAAGTGCACTTACCATGCAGGCAGATGTGCTATGTTACCAAGCCTTGGCGTATGACCAAATCATGTTTTCTTTATGTATAATCTTTAATAGTCTGGCAGAATTTGTTTCGTGTATGACAGTTGTCTTTTTTGGTTTTTGTACTGTAAGTATCAAAGTAAAGAAACCTTTTTCCGCACATGTAGGGTGACCATAAGTCCTTTTTTTAGCTGGGACTGTAATTTTTTTTTTTTTAGGTGGGCCCAGACCGTTCCGTCAATTCTCATCTTTGATAGGAGCAATGGAACGTTTTTGGGTTATTTTCTTTTAGTATTTGCAGAACTGTCTGGGTTTACCTAAAATCGATACTCTCCTGGCAATATGCTCAGCTAGACTCAAGATTTGTTGTAGACCAGTTGGCACTTGGTTCAGTGATGTGGTCAGTAAGCATCATGCTGGCCACCTTTGCTTATCCAGATATAACTTAATAACCATTTTAGGCCATGGCAGCCTGCAAGCAAAAGTCCATTTTTAATAGAGAAATAATCTGACTTGCTGCAGATTCTCACCTTTTGGTTGGCAGGTGAGCATCTGGCCACTTTGTACTGCAGATTCTCACCTTTTGGTTGGCAGGTGAGCATCTGGCCACTTTGTACTGCACATTCTCACCTTTTGGTTGGCAGGTGAGCATCTGGCCACTTTGTACTGCACATTCTCACCTTTTGGTTGGCAGGTAAGCATCTGGCCACTTTGTACTGCAGATTCTCACCTTTTGGTTGGCAGGTGAGCATCTGGCCACTTTGTACTGCAGATTCTCACCTTTTGGTTGGCAGGTGAGCATCTGGCCACTTTGTACTGCAGCTTTTGTTTATACTAGTACATTTTAAATAGCATCAAAAGCATTCACATCTGAATCTTTGTTTGTAGATACATTGCATTTCTCATGTTTGTTTGACTGGCTGTGTAAACAGTTGCCCATAATGAAAATGCATCATTAATGTATATATATATATTTAGTCCTCACTGATAATACATTATTGGGAAATTGTGTCATTTTTTTTCCTTAGCTTGTCTTCGTATAAGTTTATGTGTGCTTACTTTGTAAAGATATATAAGATTCTGTTGAAATTTAATGTATGGTGATGTGCAACCAAAAAATAAATTGGTAATACTGTTTCAGGGATGAAAACTGTCCAAACTAAGAAATGTGTCTTGTATATTGTAGCTGTGAATCTCATTTGAAAGACATTATTTTTGGTATTTAGTCGCCCTGTAAAATTGGCCAAGAGGCCAGGTAAATAATAATTCTATCCTCTTCTGTTCGTTATCTCCTAATGGAGCATATGCCCTCAA